ATGTAAACATCGTTATTTATTTGGTTATAACTTATTTACCTTATTTACTTTATAGCTAACTTATACTAAATATTCTATCTAAATGTCAATTTCTGACACTAGATGGCGCCACATCATGTAATTTTATATTTTTTTGTCATTGCAATATTTTGAGAGCTAAGCTTATCCGTGCAGAGGCCGAGCACGTGTAACTTTGCACGTGCACGTTTGCTAGCGAGAACACCTTAGATCATGGTTGCAATGAACGTTTAATGTTTATTGTTCAGTAATATATGCATAATTTACTTCTTTCTTTATCTCGCGCCCACTTTATATTGAGCTCAGATTTGCTTGCAATATTATCCGTCAACGCTAGGCTCTACTGCAACATACTTCCAGTATTGCACATGTGCTTTCGTCGTTGTTTTAACTAAATAGCAAAGCGTCGACAATATTTGACATGTGATAGCGGTGACACTCTTATTACAATAAACCGCAAAGGATTGCGCCATCGGATAAACGGCGTTTGGATAGAAGATGTGCAAAAAACATGTCACTATAGCATCAATAACCAACCTATCACGACAGAACATATTGTTCCTGCAAAGAAATACACATTGATCATGTAATTAAACTTTTACATTATACATTACATTACAGCAGTTTTACCGCAATTTGTACTGCAACCGTGATTTTCCTTTTTTTATTCCGGATATGGTGAGCGTTTTTCTGCTTACTAGATGTCATTCATAATGAATCAAATGATGAGCTGGTTTGGGTCAGTTGATTTCAGTAGAGCCTCTCACTGGGCACTGGATGATGAGACTGGTACTCGTCGTTGTAAATAGATAATCGCACGTCAATCAAACAATGATGCAAGAAAAGTGTACCTGTATGTTCCTCAAATGCTTCAGTAACACCAATATGGTAAAAAGGATTGCTAAAAAATTAACCAGAAACCTTTGTTATTGCGTCTCTACGAGTAACGAAGAAATGCCAGTGAAGTTGCTTTTTGCGGCGCCTCCAATTCATGGTTACACTAGCTATATAGATACAGCGACCGTTTCAGCATTGCGAAGATACATTGCCATATGTAATTTTCCGTTGCTAAACGAAATGACATCCATTATAGCAGAATACGCTCACAGCTTTATCATAAACTAAGCATCAATGATCTACCAGCGCGTTGCATAGACTCGATGTATTTCGATGCCTCGATTCAAAATTCGAATCCCGGCGATCCAGCCAAATCGAATCCAGTCGTATTGCACCTAGTTCGCAGTTAAACCCTCAGTTCTAGCTACGCCGCTTTCTCGCATGTCAGCACCAGCCGCGGCACAGCTACGCAGATACTGATCATATCGCGGCAACTATAATAAATAAAGGAGATCTGTTCCCCGCCTGTTTGCCGACGTTCTGAACCGGACCTCAGCCAGCAATGCGTTTACATTGTGCAGGTGGTCGGCTGGTCCTATACACGCGAGGCCCACGCGGCCCGCCCCACTACCGCCCACGCCCACGCCTACCCGGCCGTACCACGAGTCCATCCCATACATGCGTGTAATTACATTTGACACACACACACACACACACACGCACAACAGACATCACCACACACACCACACACACACACACACACACACACACACACACACACACACAAACACACACACACACAAATACAACAAGTTAGCAGTTATACTGGAGGGATAACGTGAGCAAGGTGAAAAATGACAGAAGTACGTAAAAGCGCGTGTAATAGTAATCAGTAACCAAGCCGGCAGAGTAAAAGCTGGCAGAGAACAAACCGGCAAAAAGGTAAACCCCCTGGCAGAGGACCAAGCCGGCAGAGTAAAAGCTCGGCAGAAGGACAAACCGGGGCCAGACGAAAAGCTGGCAGCAGGGAAAAAAACCGGCAGAGTTAAACGCTGCAGCCAGCCGCACGAGTAAAGCGGCAGAAGGCGAGTAAAAGCTGGCAGAGCGACAAGCCGGCCAGAGTAAAGAGCTGCTCAGAGACACAGCCGGCAGAGTAAAAGCTGGCAGAGGACAAGCCGGCAGAGTAAAAGCTGGCAGAGGACAAGCCGGCAGAGTAAAAGCTGGCAGAGGACAAGCCGGCAGAATAAAAGCCAGCAGAGTAAACGCTGACAGACGCATGTTTCGGTAGAGAACATGTTGGTGGAGTATAGAGGCTACGCACCGTCGGATCATACAAAGAAACATACATAAGACATTTAAACAAATCTTGAGGCCATTTCGTATGTCAGTGCATCCGGCTAGATGCCGAGTTTGTTTGGTTTCGCTGGATAAATAGTGAAGCGATTTTGCACCGTCTTCACTTCAGCAAAGTAACCGTCTGCGTGCTGACGGATGGAGTGGATGGATACGTCGATAATATCTCTAACATAAACAGTGAAGTCATGTATTTAGCAAACAAATTTCAAATTGAATTCATCTTAAATTTCCTGATATTATTTTTATATTTATTATTATTATTATTATTTTATTATTATTAATAATAATAATATTATTATTAATATTATACCAATCGTCATCATTATCATCTTTATCTCAACATCATTATTTAGTACACATAGGTATGGTCTGCACATTATGAATATTCAAATACCGCCCTGTCATTTATTAAAACATTTATACGACTGACGACCTACTAACTACGAACTCACTTGTTCGTTACCGAACGCATACGTTGTAACTAACAACACCACGCTTGCAAAATCAATTTAGTTTCGAGATTCGTGCAAACGAATGCCAAAATTATGTTTGCAGTAACCATATTGGTATCCATGTCGGCCTCTTCATGATTTTCTTTCGATCATTCATTTTTTTATTGCTAGTGATTATATATATATATAACAAAAGTTGGCTAATAGCATAATACCTAACCATTATATCAGATACTACCACACGTGCACGCACACGCACAAGCACACGCACACGCACACACCACACACACACACCACACACACAGCCACGACACACTACTACACACACACCACACAGGCGTCACAGCACACACACACGGTGCCACACACCAGACCACCCATCACACACACCACACACAGGATCTCACATGCCTTTTTAATATCAACCAACACGCACACACACACACACAACACACACACACACAACACACACACACACAGCACACAAACACCACACACACACAGAGTAACACACACACAAAGGTCACACAGACACACACACCAGCACATAATATTTAATATAGTTATAGTATATATATGATATATCATACTAACTATACGTCCCAAGAACGCTGGGCGCCTACCCGGCCTGGGTTTTATGCTAAAGAAATATTTCATGACGACAGAACACGGAAAGCAAAATTAGCCAATCAGCTAACATAATTCCGCCAACCGGCACGCGTCGGTGTCTTGTCATAGTGACAACGCAGGTCTAATGTACTATTGCTGTTCTTATAACAGTGGTCTTTCACGCTAATTATCTCCTCTTAGTAAAACCTATTGCCCCTTTACCGTATGTATTGCTTTTTTTTCTAAAACATGTACATATATCTAGATTTACGCACGAAAGCAACACAGCCAATGCTCGGTACCCAATTATACATAGGATATCTACATTTAAATTCTGCACAATATATATATATATATATATATAATATAATATAATCGATATATTGCAGTGTCTGCTAGAATGTATATTCTGCTGTCATCATATCCGTATTTCTTACGATATCTCCACAATATCCTCATTTTCTTTGCACGCGAAGCTTTATTTGCACACAATATAGATTAGCCTGTTTGGGAATATAGTCTGCAATTATGGCATATTATAGCTAAATCCACATCTATGTAGTCTCCCTACGCTATTCATCGTTTAGTCCCGTTGCGAACGATACGTAAAACTTCATTACTATACAGTCTGCCTCCAACATGTTCACTGATTTTACAATTATGTGAATTTTACAGTTATGTCGTGCCAAAAGTTGTTATTTTACAGTTATGTCGTGCCTATGTTGAGCGAGATTATGTTACGTTATATTACGTTTCGTTACCTTTCCTTACCTGGCATTTTGTTATGTTACATAATGTTTATGTTAAGTACCATTAACCGTACTTTTACTTTATTGATATATAAATACTGTATTGTGCTACTATTTTATGGTCTTCTAATTATGTTCTGCTGTGCTAAAATAATGTCATACTAGTTTGTGATAGTCTCACATATGCTATTTTATATCACCTTATGGTATGATATGTTATGTTATATAACTTTTTGTAACCTTACGTTACGTTGCCTTTTTCAATGTTAATCCTCACATCATACTCACTTCTTATCACCAAACATGGTACAATTACTGTGTTCGTTATAGTATACTCTTTCATGCTATGCCATTCAGTGTCGTTAATGACAAAAAAACATTGCATAAAATGTTTCTCGCATCACTGACTATATAACTTCTTCTTCAAATATGAGCATATAGTTTGGTCGTCCAGGCAACGCGGTGTACCGAACTAGTGCATATATAAATAGGTTATATACGTTTATGATACGTGCGGTGTTAGTAACCCCTAGCTGCAGCCTCGCTAATTTAGGGGTAATACCGAGGTCACAAATATTGCCGGTCAGCCCCTGCTTGTTCACCCCTTTAGCCACTTTGCCTGCGGCGACGATGAAACAATACACCGATAAGTATAACGACGTATACAACGCGCGAACCGGGGCGAGTAGGCCCAGCGGCCATTGCTCCGTCGCAAGCGTTCCTTGCGAATTATTCGGATATGTGCGAATAATCTCGATGTGTAATCATCGCTAGGTAGCGATTACCACCGGACATTGCACGACAGCTGTTAACGAGCGACTATCACTGACCGTCCGCGCCATTGTCTTTTCGTTGCGCGAAGCGATCGCGCATCGCTGCGCATGCGTCGGGCGGAACCGGTTTCTGATTGGCCGCCTCGGCGCGTATTACTTCTGCGCTGCGATGCAAGTGGAATTCATCATCAGCGTAGAGACACTACTGTTCACGCGCGCGAGAGAGAGAAGTGAGGTATCCGTGCGGCGAAAATCGCAACATGTTTCACAGATCGCGTATTCCGCGTCTGCTCCGACGCTCGTGTCAGCGTTAGGATTACTCGGCGACCAGCTCTGATTGCCCGACTCGTTGTCTGCGTCGCCCAGCCGACGCACGCTTACCCCTGCTGACGACAGATGAGCTGACGTATTGCGTCGCTATATAAATAGACACGCAGAGTGAGATATATACAGTGTTCTGGCGGCCGCCAGCGCAGAGGTGTGACATTAGTATGCACGCATCGACGTGGCGGTAGAGCTGTCCGCACGCTCGCGCGCATGCACGCACGCGTGCGCCATGAGAGGATACGTGACGTAGTGCGCGTGGCATCGAGTGAAACTTTTCTCGTCAGCGGAAGCGATTGATGAAAGCTTCGCGGAGAACACTGTTGTTGTAGAGGATGCGCTAATAGCGCTGTGAGAGCTATATAAACATATTCACCGTCGGCACATATATACGTAGCTATACAGTGATCGTCGTCATACGCGCCCGCACGAGCACAATCGCTTGGATATGACTGGACGTCAAGTATACTCGAAACCCCATCATATCAAGGTGAGTAGAACTGACAACCGATCGCAGTGTCTCGTCACGGTAGCGCGTATGCTTGTGTGCAATCCGCGTGCGTAACGGGATATCCGCATCATTCGGGCCAGGATACGAACGGATCCGTGCGTGGGTGTACTAGTTAAGATTACCGATTAGGGCATTAGCTCTAGCTCTGCCATACTTAGCACTGCCTGATCACTGCTAAGCACTCCTGTACACTCGGACCGCTGTGTAAATATATACGAACTACTGATATACATCGGGTTTACACCGACGTGGGTGCGTGCGTGCGTGCGTGCGTGCGTGAAGAGAGGATGGGTGAGACGATGATGCAGGAAAGATTGACGCGGTCCGCGTGATCTGTTCGTGCGCATGGGACGTTGACAACAATAGATCGTAATTATCCGCCGTATCAACGGCCCTCAATTACAGACTCGTCGTACGCACTGCCCCTCTCTCTCTCTCTCTCTCTCTTTTCCTGTCTCTCTCTCTCTCTCACTCTCTCTCTCTCTTCCTCTTCTCGCTCGCTTCTCTCTCTCTCTCTCTCTCTCTCTCTCTCTTTTTCTCTCTTTCTCTCTCTCACTCTCTGTCTCCCTCGCTTTCTTTCTTTCAGTTCTCTCTGTCTTTCTCTCTCTCTCTCTCCAGTAGGAATCGGCTAAATGCAATGTTTCGTGGAATATAAAAAGTGGACTATAAACCCAATCTCTTTCGATGTATGAACGGACCCCTTGAGGCTTAATTACGCGGGTATTTTAACACAAAGCTAGGTTTGTAAACAGTTTGTAATGGAGGACGTATATATAGTAATGTCATCTTCACGACTTGTTTGACCATGAACCGTGTATAGAAGATGTGCGATGCGTTGCCGAATATGTAATGCCTGGCTACAAATATACGGTACAAGGCATAATAAAGGCTAATCCGGTACAGGCGCTACATGAGCGCTTGCAAATATAAACTCGACATGTTTTTATAAACTTAAGAGTCTGACCAAAAATGTAGTAAATCTGTAATATAGTATTATCAGCAATAAATCTAAAAACATTATTGTTAATATTTTTCGTAATCACGGCACCATATACTAGTCAACATCCAGTAGATGGAGGGAATTATAGAGATGCTCTCGCTCGTGCATATATCGCCAAGTTCGATTTTGCTTCAGAAACTACAAGGCTCGTGTGCGCGCGCACACACACATCTTTAATATCTTCACCAATTATAGTGCCTCATTGCTACGACTAGAGAGAGTTTTTCTTATCGAAGATAAGGTGAAAATCTTCATCATATAAGATGTTCACAACATACCGTTGCAGTTATACTTGCAATAGTTGCAAGCTGCGCAGATAGGTTGTTTTTATTTACTCCTGATATAGTTTACATAATAACTTATGTTATGGGATTATTGTTATATGTCCCGTAAACTACTCCTGATACCATCATTCGAACGGGCTGTGCGTAGCGCTGCGGCGAAGGAAGGCTGGTAAATGGAAAGCAAGGCAGGCACATCTCTCCCAGGCAGCTGCAATGCATCTCTGTCGAGTTTTCGCTATTTTGCGCTCAAACTTGTGTTTTTGTGCACGCGAGAACAGATTCCAGACGTAAGGCGGCTGTATTTTCGCATGTCGATAACACAAAACGATGCTCCCCGAAGGAGACGTGTTACTAATTAGAGGGGAAGGGCCTTCGCTGTATTTATATATAGCTACTGAGATATGCTTGTTCGGCTAGCAGCTATCCCTGGAGAAGGAAAACAAACAAGTACGCGATTGCAAACTCCTAACAATATATAACGTGTGACACAATGGCTTAATGTAACAGCCTATCCCCCCATGCAGGGGATTTTACTGACGCAAACGAGGGAAAGGATAGCTCGATTAACACCCGAGCGCTTGAAGCGAGGCTGACATAAACCCACCAGAATTCGCCTAGCTAAAGTAAAGCAATGTCGTTAATTTTATCACCTTTCAAGCCCGAGACAGTGTATGAATCAGTCGAACACGAGCGATTTAAAGCTATGATGATAGAATCTCTGCCTCCGGTGGAGGTTGCACGGGTAAGCTACGGCGGTGACTTACTTAGGCTGGAAACAATCACGTACGAGGGTGCACCAGCCGAGGGCTTCGCATCATGTGCGTAACTATATTAATCCCCATTCCGATTAATTACCATTGATTACAATATAAAATAATACCTATGTACTATAATTGTCATTGATACGCACCCATACGTATACCATATGGCAACGCATTGTAAATATGCCATACCTATAGATATACTTTATATAACATGTGTCATGTAACGTGCTCTCTCGTGAATCCTGTGTTCTACTGCCTTATATATATCTAGACTACGGTATATATTTTTTCGTAACTATACGTCGATTGCGCAAGGTCTCGATGTAGGTATTGTATTTTAAACACAAGACCCATAGGAAATATTCACAATTTATTGCTTGCGAAAATACCACAGTGCATAGACTCTGCTGCATAGACTCTGATTACCACTGAGCTGGCACTATGTATTATTATTTATAATGCACATGTACTATATATAGTGTGTGTTATTATATGTTATACACGTGTTGCCGTGTCTATAACATTACGCCTTGCGTCTCATACGTTACGTTAGTTATGATATACTTTAAACATGCTATGCGTATCACATCCGCGTTATACCATATTGTATCAGGAGTTTCATAATACAGACTATATATAGACTAATAAGTCGATATTATGTCACTCCTGGTTGTATCATATCAAGCTTACGCTACAATATATCCACAATGTTTATACGTGATATATGCTGTACCCGTAGTCCGGCCTACCAACAGTACCTTGCCCATAGCGGCTCGAGCGGGCACCTACGGCACGGTATGACCGCTATTAGGAGATCCCACGACCTGCTTGCTGTACGCGTCCCGGCTCCATTCAGTCTGTAATCAAACGAGTTTTGGCGAAAAGAATTGAAAAGAACACGCGTGCGGAGAGAGGAGCGCGCCGCGCTGCCCTGGGCCACAACAAAGGCGCGCGTCGCCCGGCGGACACAGCCGCCGTATTGCGCCAGCTCATCGCATTTGTAGTCATCAATTGGTGGCCGGCCGAGTGCGTGATCGCGCGACGGCCCTCCCGCTGGTCGCCATTAGCTGACCTTGTGTCGTTTCTCCCGCTTGGCATCACGCAGTGGTTGGTGTTCATGCGGCTCGCGCGCCTGCGTGGCCCTCGTGATCTTGTACACGAATTGAGAGACTTGATGCACTGACCGAGCTAGATGCCCATGACACAGTGCGTCGAAGTTAGTCTAAGCACACCTACTCTCCTCTAACTCTCTTACTATATATATATGTATATATAAGAGACAGTAGATGACGAGAGCAGAGAGTGAAAGATGAGAGAGTGAGATAGAGAGAGACGACAGACGAGAGAGACGATCGAAGAGAGACATGAGACTGAGAGAAAAGCTAAACGAGAGAAAAGGACGGAGAGAGACGAGAGCGGAGAGAGAAGAGAGAGGAGAGAGGAGGGTGGGGGCGGAGAGCGAGGGAAGAGTGGGGTTTACTTTCCCAGTAAATTCCAAACCAACTCTAACCATTTAATATATATATATATATATATATTTCGGTGGGTTCGGAAGTTACGGTGAAAGTGAGTATGATTTTGTGAGCTGAAGCTAAAAATGTAGCGCAGAACTGGAGATGTAGAGCCAAGGACAGTGGCGTTCTCCTGGCCAGTGACGCTACTAACTTATGTGAGATTTTTACCTGCCAATGCGCGATGTCAGCCAGCTCGCTTCTTAATATGTGTTCGATGTAGAAGAAAGTTCTTTTACCATTATTTGTTATCTGCAGTAAGGATGGGACATATTTTATAAACTCTTTATCATCTACAGTATGGATGGATATGCAGTAAAGGATAAATAATTCGTGATCTGCAACAGGGCTATGAGAGAAGGGATCTTTCATTCAGGATCTGCAACAATGCAGGGTATAAAGCAGAGAAATCTTTTCTGACATGCAGTAGGGATATGAAGGGCGATAGGCTAGATTCTTCATGATCTGTGGGAAGTATAAGAAGGAGCGAATACAGTTTTCATGATCTGCAGTGAGGCTATGGGGGAGTGAAAGACATGTACAAGACATGTCATTCCTGCACATTCCTTCAATGTTTATTAGATCGACGAAAAGAAATAGCACTCTCTTAATTCTCTATAGAGGAGATTAGAGTTGGAGATTAGGGAAATTCGCAGCCTCCTAATCTATATCGTATAGAAAGAGACTAGAGTATACACATACACCTATCAAATGGATGGTTAGCCAACACCATCGTCCCTATCTATAGAGGAGGGAGAGGCGGGAGTTCACACCCTCTTCATTCCTATTTGGGGAAACTTGAGTCATTGTTAACCCGTATGAAGGAGTAGAAAAGTGGTTTACGTGCGTGCATCTTCTCTATCGTCTTCAGGAAGGTGCGAATGTGGTGTATATACACCAACCCTTTGGCCTTTAGCACGAACTCGGGAAGACGCGCAGTATATTTATAACCGTATATTCATAAGCCATATTCCATAACATTAGAAGTGTATAACATAGATCCTCCTTATAACAAATAGCGGACCTTCTTTCTTGGCCCGTGTAGAATGCGATTTACGCACTGGCGTCTCCCCTTAGAATTATTGCCGTGAGAGGAGACGAAGTAGATCACCGCTACTGTGAACACGCGAGGATGAGGATGAGGATGAGGATGAGGATAAGGATGCTGTACTCGACTCAGCTCGGCAGCGGAATGCTTTTGCGGTGTGTTACTGCAGCTGTAATTGTATCGCGCTTCCAGGTCAAAGGTCGTGACCAGCCGTCGCCGATGTTATGTCTACTGTTGTTTTGTCGAATGCATGACCGCCGGATCGATGCCTATGAAAGCGATGCAGCTGCGCGGTTGTACGTTGCACATAGAGCCACTACGACGGTGGCTGATTCCTTTGTGAATTGTAGTCGGTAACCTGACGATGGATGAGCATAGCTTTTGCGCGAGTACGCGCAGGTAACCAATAGATCGTGGTTGCGGCCGATTTGTTTCCGATTTTCTCCTGCACACACACACACACACACACACACACACACACACACACACACACACACGACGACGACAACAACACACACACACACACACACACACACACACACACACACACACACACACACACACACACACACACACACAC